CAAAGATGTTGGATTCAAATGAACTATTTCATTTTCTCTCTGAGATTGATAAAAAGGGAACAAAATCTCCGGGACTGGCTAGATCGCTGGGCTGCTATGACTCAAACACTGGAGCCTCCACGCAGTCCAGGACAATGTGACAAAAGATGTAGAGATACGAGCCCTTGGATGTCCAAAGACATCACGCCGTGGTTACCTTCAGCAGGGAGGGGAGGAGAGCTGCCTCTCCACTCTGTTGTGCTGAGTTACTATTTTCCGAAGGGTTTATCAGCTTGGCAAAGCCTTAAACTACTGGATAGGTAAACAGTGGCTCCCAGAAAAGCAAGCCAGAGGGAGATGTGCCTCAGAGGCAAAAAAATGAGCATTCCTCTGACATCAGTTATCACCCAGCAGGGTACAGAGCTAAAGAGGAGACCGTAAACTTAAACTATTTCCTGCTCTGTTCCCAGTCAGGTCTACCCACAAATTCAAAGTAGCAAATAAGCCATCTTGCTAGGGAAAAAAAAAAGCCGCCTTACTAACGTCAGGATGAGTGTGTAGAACACAAAGGCTTGGGGTCCCACTGGTGATGGCAATGACGGCAGCGGCAGTCACTGTCTGTCCTCCTGATAAGGAGTAAGACCCACCGAAGGGACAGACCAAATTAAACAGCATCCTTCCTACCTGCTAACTCCCCGTCTGCAATTCTCAACCCATGAGACTCATTCCCTTTAAATGTGTCTGGCAATCAGGAAGCTACAGTGTTTCCAGATAGGCTGTTCTGGTCTGAGCTGTGCCCCCAAAGAGGATCAGTTTTCCCCTGTACCTATGCCTTGCTCACATTTTCCTTTCACAGAAGTTTCTGAGCTACACCAAGTAATGCTGAGATTAGGTGGCAAACATCAAACACTGTTTCCAGAAGAAAAGCAGAAATGCACTTCGCAGCCTGCCTGAGAAGACAGTTTTTTCAGTGGCTGATTTAAAAACTCTTATCTCGCTTCCTGTTTCTTTCTTATCATCATTAGGGGATAGGCAGGGACACTCAGGGCTTCATGAACTCTTCTGAGATAACTGAACGCTCCAATTCAGAGAGAAACATCAGCCACAGCAACCTTCCAATTACATCCCGTGCAACGCTGCTACCAAACAGAAGGATTTGATTAAAACACACACAAAAAAATAGCAAAACAGGAAAGGCTTCCAATTCAGGACATAAAATTCAAATCAATACGACAAAAGATACATATAAGTACTTAAAATGAAGACTTCCGTACGGCAAACTTACAAAATGAAAG